TCAATTTACGATATTTGTCAACAAGAGTGATGCACACCGTCTTCGTAGAAATACTAATACGTTTTAATATACACACAATAATACAATTTACAATAAAAAATTTTTACAAATAGTTATTACAAACAAAGATTTATAAACAAAAGTTTCACAAACTTACAAACAATATAAAATCTAGTTTGGAACTCCCTTGATATCTTATCGAGGATTTACGATGAGCGAGTTGATAAAGGTACAATTCACTTAATAGGGAGCTAGCTAACCCTGTAGTTCTCGCTGATCACACGGTGATTACAGGTCTAGTTTCACCGATGAGGTTAGGTAATGTTTTCGTAAAAATACTAATGTCCAATGAGAATCCACTGAAGTTAAATAATTTGTAATGTTCGAATTTTGTAAATGTTCCTGGTCAAATATCTGAAGTTTTCCGATTGATAAGCGTTATAAAAATCACAGTTATAGATTTCAAAGCTTATAGCACACTGATTATAACAAAGTACTAATAGACATTTTTCTTGGCGCGTCGCGTTAGTTGTATTTATAGGGGTGGGAAGGTTTCCAGAAAATTCAGTCTTACGTAACAATACTGATTAAAGCGTTTACGTACACACATACACTTTTGATTCTTACTCTCGAGAATCTTCTACAACTTTGGAGAATAGGCGGGAGTTTCGCAATACATATCTAACACTATAAGCTATGCGTGTTTTTAAATATAAACTTAATCTAAACAACGTTGATATTAAAATAAATACATAACAACAACTCCGTTACATTACGGACTTGTACCGCTTGAAACCGGGTTTTGATACCCGTAGTGGGCAGAGCACAGATAGCTCTTTGTGTATGTTTGTGCTTAATAATCAAACAATAACAACAAACCATTCTTTTAGGTAGTTAATAGAGCTTGATTGAGCTTTACAGTACTGGAAAATATAAAATTTTAATATAATGTTTATTATTAGCAAATAACGTTTGATTCTAATGTAAGCTTTGGCTCTAACATTTGTAAGATGTAAACGTATATACGAGTAGAGTCCGATATTTTCTTTCGAAATTTTAATTATTTCCGCAAAGCAATGACAAAAAAAAGTTTCTAATCCGATTATTCCAATAGCCAGAAACGATGAACAACTGAATTAAAAGACTTTTAAATTTATATACTTCGTTATCCTATATCATTCTTTACTAAAATGATGGTCAACCGTTCCTTCTGCATGACGAAGTGTTGTTAAAGTAAGGATATGACATACATTTGGGGAGAGAGCTTATATAAATTTTGAAATTTAATAGCTTTCGTGGAACTAAGTATTAAAGCTTCAAAATTGATTGTCTTTGTAGCAGTGAATTATGCTGAAGCGGTTTTAAAATGCTATCAAGTCTTCCACCCGTCATTACCTCATTCGGTTCCTTTACTGAAATAATAGTATGTAGAATATCTTTATGCTTGGTGAAATCTCACAGTTGATAAACAAATATCATTAGTATGATTTTATGACAGGCTTATTAATCCATGAATTCAATATGGAGTGAGATACGATAAATCCTCTATGCGTAGAGTGACGATGGTGATCCTGAACGAAATCCCAAGAGCCACAAGGGATTTGCCTAATAGGTGAACGATGTTTCTCGATCATAGCATAAGATGCTTAACTCTAATGACGGTGCTGCAAGGAGAAGAGAAAATTGATTAGTTCCGACAGCTATAAATTAAAGTAGAGTAGCTTTAAGTCATCATGCCTTCTTGTAAACTTTGCTGCTATGTAGAAACATTCTACCGTTTAAAATTGTTTATTTGTATTTAGCTTAATCGTAACAAAATACGCCACTTCATGTTTTAAATGTTTCACATTATTTTACTTACATTCTATGTCTCAGAATATTTAAGCCCGTGATCTACACTTATTAATTTTATGTTAAATAGAGAGATTTTTTTAAACGAAGCTAGATCATAAAGTGAAATAAAGTGAGACCTGGAGAAAATATATGTATAAATTTTTCCACAAAAAATTTGTTCTTCATTCATTTAAGTAATATAAATAAAACTGGCGAACAGATACGTTCTGTGTAACATTTATTTCTACGTCTTATCTGGAAAGTAAGTTCCATATTACGCCTTTTTGATACCATTTTGTATGGTTAGAATAGTAAAATAGCTCGATGGTTAAGCTGACCATAAGTCTAATAAGTAAAAATGTATTTGTTTTCACTGAGGTTATTCCATTTTGTGAATAGTCTGAACATGAGACGAACACGAAAGAAACAAATAGAACTACGTTTGAAGTGCTCAAAAATATTACTATGTAGCAAATTTATTTATTCTAATACGACGATTTTACATGATTTTTATTTTGTTTTGTAGAATCTAGGATGTATCTGAATGCATTACTTATAGTTGTACTGGACAAATAATTATAATGTTTGAGCAATGTATCGGAGCTTAATCGCTTATATATGTACTTAAAACACAGACTTATCTTCAATACAGTGCTTAAATATCGAAGTTTAATTTACTCCAAAATTGTCTAGTAAATATAATAAATCCTATCCCGTGGCTCAGCGGTAAGTCCGCGGGCTTATAACGCTAAACATTAGGTTTCGAAATCAGCGATTAGCAGAGAATAGCTAGCTTTGCGCTTAACAATATGCAATATCTTCTAACTTAGGGAAATGTGTCAGAATCATTAAGCTTTTTATTAAAATGAACACTAAAGAATACGAGGGACTAAAATAGGCACGTGAACGGAGGGAACCAAGCGGAAAGGAACGTGCATTTAAGAAGAGCTATTCAAGTGCTCTAAGATGTTGTATCGTCCAGGCAAGGCTCATCATGCAAGGCCCTTCCACAACGACATTCAAGGCCCCCGAAAGGGGCGCCAGTAAACAGACATAACTTAGGACTTCTTCGCGCATGTGCTAGTTCGGCAAGCTAGGAAGACGGCGCTGGCGTAGTTGCGTGTTTTGCTGAAAGGTACAAGGGAACATTGTCGAGGAAACTTTAGAACTATAACGTCTCTGTATGCGTGCACCCATCAATAAATGCAATGCATTACTTAAAGCTGTCTTCGTGAAAATGCATGCACAAGCTTTAAAATTTCTGTCACGTGTTTGAAAAGTGCTTATTTAATCTCTATCTAGTAAGTCGAATACTGATTTAGTTGCTACGAACCTGTAGTCGATCTATGACCTGCCTGGCGATTGTTTCTCGGGACAGGTTAAACGTGTTGCTTGAGTCAAGGTAAGACACCGTTCTATTTTATTCCACTAAATGATAATTTATCTTACGTAACCAATGTACTTGAAGGTTTTGCTTGGAATAAACTAAATGTCATATTTGGAATATCGTATTGTTTTCTAGTGATAGATGTTTAGGAATATGGAAAAATAACAATTAAGGATTGGCTTAGTGAAGTAAAAACTACAAACAAACTACAACAACAGAGAGACCAAGTGGTGTATATAAGATACATAACAACAAGTGTTGAAACATAAAGAAGTTAGCCCTTATATAAAATCCTCAATTTAGAGTTTTAACTCTATATAACTATCTGTCTGTCAGTAAGTATGATTTAAGAAATAAAATTATATTTCTGAAAAATAAAGCTGCCCCTGCTTCTTTAAATAGTGCATACTGAGTTGTGCTTTAGAGGTAGCAAGAACTACGTCACAGGATTAGCATTTGTTTGTGCCATACAAATGTTCTTATTATTAATATTACAAAAATAAAAGCAAAAGTAGTTTTATAAAGATTCATTTAACGATGCAACAACACATAAGTTCCTTAAGGGTTTGTTTATCAGGTTATGCTAATATCGCGAAATGGAGGGGTTCTTTGTAAATCAGGAAATCAATTAGAATTTATGTCTTAGACCAATCGCTACATGACAATATTGATTACTAACTAGTATTGCCAGAGTTATGTTGAATTAAACAAGTAACTAGTGTTCAATAGTGTAGTATCTTTCTTATTCCGGACCTGAAATGGCTTCTTGTTTTAGGTCTCTCGACTCACATTCTGTGGGTCGCGAGATCGAAATTTAGCACTGAACATGCTCACCTTCTTAGTTGCTGGTACTTTATAATGTAATCTTCAATCTCACTATTCGTTAGTAACGAGTAGCCCAAAAGATGGCGATGGGTTCTGTATGCCAGTTGCCTTAACTATTGTCGGTAGTCCAAAATTAGGGACGGCAGCAATTAGCCTAAGCAGCTTTACCACAAACAAAACAACAAATTCATTTCCGGCTAACATGGATCTATGAAGGGGAGAAAACATACTAACTACGTAAACAGGCTCTAATTTCAATTGAATTTAATGCATGTTCGTGTAAACATTGCAAATTAACAGAAAAATAGAGATGATTCTATCGTTAACCCATGGGATTTTTCATTAAATAGGAATTTCAGTATCTTCATTTGCTAGTTATTGCCATTTTATGTAATCCAGTTAACGCAACTGGGTACTTGACTCGAAACACAAATTCTGAAACCGTAGAAAATAATTGCTACGAAGACTGGACTTCAAAGTGTTAGGGTAAATGAGCAGTAAATGCTTTTTCTAACAATTGAGCAGGCTCATTTATTTAGCTCAAAGAATAATACTATCATTCATTGCTGTTATAATTCACTCCAAATCAGTAACTGTGATTTAGGTATTTCCGTTTCGTAATTTCATCATAACTATCAAACTTCTCTACTGATTAAAAACATATTTTTACTTAGATATTAATGATAAGCTTTATTTCAACCTCTACTCATTACTTGGATGGGGAAACCACAACAAAGACAATAAAAGTTTTCTTAGCGACGTATCCCCACGAGGTAAGGAGAAATGTCTATTTGAAACCGTTCGTGCGACTTCGTATACAGGAAACGCAGACTCTGTTATGTATCAAAAAAGAGACTTTTTTAATAATGTGACTTTCAGGAAACATAGAACGAACTAGAAGCACGAGCAATACATCTTACATGCAAGCTCTAATTTCGATAAAATGGAACAGGTATCTGAAAGGTTGCACATTATACGTCAAGACACGTAGTGGATATAAATTTCATTCGGCTTGTGCACTTGATGACGGTAGGTTCAAAAGTTTCGGAAGCATACAGTTGCTTCTTTTGACATGACAAAAGAAGTAGTATTTAACCGTTAAAGTTCTATTAAAAAACAAAAAAAGAATCAGGTGTTATGAATAATGTATAGTATAAAAGTATAAACTGTTTTTTTTTCTGGTAAGTTCTTTAAATAAAAAAACGGTTGCTGATGCCACGTTAACAGAGGAAAAACATTGTTTTATTCGATATTTTTCTATCCCATTTTAGCTGTCTTCTGAATTTTTAAAAACGGCTGATTTCAAACTAATTTAATGATTTTAATTTTTAGAATTTGTTTTTACGATAATAAATATGGCACTAGAGCAGTAATAATATGTATACGTAGCATAATTTTATTCATGTGAAATGGACCAAAGTCGTCTCTCAGACAATGGCATTTGTTCACCAGATGTGATCCTTCATATTCGTTTTCATCCTCTGCCTAAGCGTAAAGCCTTCCTGTGATTTAACAAGACGTGCAAGATTATCAACAACAAAGTAACTGATAGAACTGACCTGGAGTAATATGTGAAACGGCACGGTGGTCACGAGAGGTCACTTGGCAGGATGCCATGTGTACTTCTTAAGAACAAGTCTAGGTGGCAGCACACTGCGGAAAAGACTTAAGAGGAACCTTTAATCTTTATGGCAGTGAAATGAAATTCAATGACAGGAAAGTAGGGTCAAACTAAACTGTACGTGCTATTTTTCATCAAGACCAGGAATATTCCTCATTTTTTGAAAGAAAACAGAATAATATTCAGCTAATTTGACTGTAATATGGAAGGCCTGGTATGGCCTAGTGGTTAGGGCGTTCGTCTAACAATATGTGGGTGGCGGGCTTAAATCCTGCTGTTGAACATGCTCGCCCTTTCAGTCTTAGAAGTGTTATAATGTAACAGTAAATTCCGCTTTTGTAGATAAGGAGTAGCTCAAAAGTGGGCGATGGGTGGTGTTGACTAACTTATCTTTCCTCTAGTCTATCACATATGAATTAGGGATTTTCGTGGCTTATGTTTTCAAATTGTCATGCATTACTTTCCAAGGATCATTCTGTATTTCCGCGATATTCAACAAGCAAACTAATATGGATTTTTAATTTTATAATATCGCAACAGTATTTATTGATATATCTTTGGAGACTTGAAATTACTAGTTATTCATCATTCTGATTTGTGTAGAAATGAGAGATGTTTTTGAGTTTCTACACATTTTTTTATAGTCATGCACAATTTCAAATCATACTACAATACTTGTATCTGAAAAATCTAAGTCTACCCCCCCCTAAAAAAAAGAAGTATAAAACTTTTTTCTCTCTTAGGTGTCCAGGTTATTACTGCTGGAAATTAGTTGTGAGATTTTTTACAAACTTAGATTGCGAAAGCAGAGTTATCTAGAGTTAAATCAATTCCACATTTGTAATTAGTTTTTAATTGTTTGTTTGTTTTGAATTTCGCGCAAAGCTACACGAGGGCTATCTGCATTAGCCGTCCCTAATTGTAATTGTGTAAGATTAGAGGGAAGGCAGCTAGTCATCACCACCCACCGCCAACTCTTGGGCTACTTTTTTACTAACGAATAGTGGGATTGACCGTCACATTATAACGCCCCTACGGCTGAAAGGGCGAGCATGTTTGGTGTGATGGGGATAATTAGTCTCTAAGAACTTGGTAAACAATATGATTTCAATTTGGTTTATTCTCCTGAACGTCTTGATATGACGTCTATTTCAAATGATGTTTTCCGAATGTCACAGATAATGCTATGATAGAGTTTATTTGATGCATTAGTAAATTGGTGATTGTGTTTTCAAAACGTAAGCTATTTGCCATATCTCCCAATATATGATTATGAATAAAGCTGAATAATAAACACATTTTTAATCTCTTTAATCAGTTGAATTCTGAATATCGAATACTTCCATTTGTCATTTGCTTTTCAAATCTATAAATTTTATTTAAACTTGTCTTAATTTTTTAAACAGTTTCTGCATTTAATTAAAACTGTCCGTTTCAAGTCCCTCAAATAATGATATATTGTGCATTGAGAAGGATAAGATTCTATTGCACTAATTCCATTTCTAAGTTCTCTTGTGCTGCTAAAGTAATATCGGCCCTAGGCTTCATTGTGACTGTTTTATAATTTGTTAGGTTTGCATCCAAGGGATTAAAGTATATTGTAGAGCATCTTATTCCTATTTTGTACTTTGACGTTAACTTTGATTAGTTGATTTCACGTAGGTTTACATGCGTCGTAGGAATGTTTCCTACTGCAAGGCATACTGCTCTCATTTAATCTCCCTTTGGATTTAATTGCTTTCAGAGTTCACTTAGTTATACGCAAAACTAAATCTTTAAGATCTCATGATCATTAAACTGACTCGGTTAATAAGGTAGATAGTTAAGTTTTATTAAAAAAAAGAATAAAATATATTTAATTCCTGCTTGTTTGATATTATTGATTTTAGAGGGTTATCAGTGATGTACATAAAATTTACAATAATCAATTAGGATAATAATAACATTTTAAAGACATTTTAAACTTTTAAAAAACATATTATTCAAATATAATCATTCTCAAATTAGCTTTCATATACATTTTTGTTGTTCAACACGATTTTAAAATTTGAAACTAGTAAAACATGATAAGTTTCGTGGGTTTGGTGTTTCAACACTCATGCATCATTTCCCAAAGATCATTCAGTATTTCTTAGAAAACATTTTTCACCTCACATGCATTTATAAAACTATGTATATACGAGAAAAAGAACAATTTTATACATAAAATATGGGAAAATAGCCCATTATAATATATACTTAATTTGGTTCAGTGGTCTCAATAAAAATGTATGCAACTATTAATGAAATATCTTCCTATGCATTGATTGACTCAGTCATTCAATGTAAAAGCCACTTAAAAAAAATCACTTATTTATAATATTAACCAACAATGCCTATTTGTGACTACATAATATTTTACTTGTAGCTGAAAACATGCCAATAATTACTAAGAGGACTTGTATGCTTATAATTTTTTGCATTTCACTTAATTAATAAAAGTAAAATTACGATCACACACCCTGTTAAATACGTAAACGATATACCATTTTTAGCTAAACAGATAATTATAAGATATTTTTTGTTGGTT